TTGCAAAAGGAACTAGTTTAAATGTTTGGCTCATGTAGATTTCTTGTCACCCTTTGTTCAGATTATTTCTGAGGGTTGGCTCTCTTGTTCCACCAGGTGGGTATCTGTGGCAGACCTTTTTTCCATATAACAAACCTTTTGTGGGGTGGCGGGGGAGTAAAATGTTAGACCTTCCTGGCACTGAGTATATAATTTAAAAGCATTGTTTATACTGCATGTTCATTTACTGAACATGCATATTCTGAACTTGCAAGCAGGGCACAGGTCTGAGTAATACTACATGTGCATGAATATAGTTTGGTTGGTTTTCATTTGCATTGAGGAATTATCTGCCTTTGCTGCTACTGCTTCCTTTCCATGGCTGCTTCTACTATTGTAAACAAAGCACATACAATATCTGGAAAATGATATATTGTTGCACAGGCTGCTGTGATATATGGGATTGGAAAATTTCATTTATGCATGCCACTTTCCTAAGAAGTGCTTTGCTGATGCACATCTAACAAACTATTTAAAGATACTATAGAATTTTGTAGCACAGAATCTTAGTCTGAGTGTTAGATTTCAACTTCATGTATTGTGCTAGGATTAATTTGCCCATAATTAGTTTTCACTCCTTTGCTGAAACCTTCACCCCATAACCAAACAGGTTTGACTTGTGGTCTGAACAATTAAGCCTGATATTTATGTATATTCTTCCTTTGGCTCGGTCAGTGCATGGCACCTTGTGGGCATGATCCAGCCCACATTGCCCAAGCACTTGATGACATGTTACTTGCTTGCAGGATTGGGGTATACAGCTGTAATGGACACTATGCATATGACTCCTCCTATGACTATTCGTCTCCTTTCGCACAGGGAAAGGCGTGTGCCCAGGTGTTGCAAGTGCACAGCTTCCGTCCCTTAGAAATGCCAAGCTCCAAGGAATTTCTACATACACTTCCTCTTCATCAATGCAGACTGTGAGAAGGCTGCTGATACTGATGCTGCATCTGATCAGCTTCAGCTGTTTGAGTGGGGAAAATACCGATGCTTACAATGGCATGGGGCTCGTCTCAGCATTCCAGGTAAAACTTTCTGTGCACAGTTGCTAAGGAAGATGTTTGTTGATACAGCATATTTATGCCAGAAATTCATACCTGTTGGCAGTTTTCCTTTGTTTCTTTTCCTTCTGCTACAGCATTGCTGCTGAGTAAGAACAGGGCATGTCACTGTGCTAGCCCCCTTAGTAAAATCAGATGGTCAGGCTGCTCATAATATACTGTCAGTAACCGTTTATGGCCATCTAAAGGCTCATTAATATTGCACATAAAACAACTAATTCAGAGAATAATTATAATTCCAATAAAATTATATACAAACATATGTATAAACAAGAAAACTTACAAAATCAGAGCTATCCAAACAAAATTAAGAATTGTCAGATTCAAGTGATACTCTGAATTTATATACAAGTGTTCATAAAATCAGAAACACTATTGATGAAAACTTCTTAAAAATTCGAATAAGTTGTAAAACTAGAAGAAAGCTGTAAAAAATGTAAACTTTTTAGAATTACCACAATGGAAACATAGTTATTCTAGCATATTCTGTTTCATAAAGTGCTGGCATATACATTGTGGCGTGCTATTTCACTTTTAACCTTTATTCTATTATAAAAGTATTTATGCAATATTATCCTGTTTTTTTTCTTAAACTGTCTAAAATTAAAACTTTTAGCAATCAAATTAGAATACAGTAATGGTTGACTCCTCACCTCCCATAAAACTTGACAGTTTAAAGAAAATATGGCTTTCAGTACTGCAATTCAGTAATGAATTTCTGAATGTGGGTTTGATTCTGCACTACCTTGATCCTTACCACTTCCGCATGCTTGTAGACTCACATCATTGCTTGTAAGATTTGGCTGGTAAAAGAAAGGGCACTGGTATGCACATCTCAAAACTGGGCATTTTACTAAGTTTGTAAAATAATTAGCAGTTTTAATGCTGCAAAGCACTGTTTCTCATCTGTATTTTTCTTCATTTCACTTGTACTCATGAATATTAGCTGCACGTATTATACAAGGCTTTGGGCTGCAATCCTATGCACATTTACTTAGCAGTAAGTCACCTTATCTTAGTGGGGATTACTTCTGAGTAAGAGGGATAGCATTGGACTGTTGTATGCCTATTAGTAATATCATATATTGGTTGGTAAGATCAACAAGTTCAACTGTCACATGGGAAATGGAAATAATTGTGATTTAGGGAAATAATTTGAAGAAGTCAACTTCAGTTGCAGAATATATTATTAACACAGCTGACACTACACTTTCTTGGAAAATCTCATTCAAACTAAATTTGTTGATATAAATAGGAGCCTTCTAACTTAAACTCTACAAGATTTAAGCTGCCCTTCAGAAATGCATAGCACTGCACAGATTTTCCTCTCTGCATGGTATAAGACCGATGCCACAACACTCTGTAAGAAAGAAAATAGCTAAAGGCATTTTCACTCACGACTCTAGAATCAGCTCTAAGACTCTTTCGTAGTATTTGTGCACAGAGGAAGTGAAAGGTTTTAAAATTAAATGTGCATTCTAGTCAATCCAGATATTACATTTGCATTACAAACCTGGGAAATGCAAACACGGATTTATGTGCCATGCATGAAAATGATCTAAGACTGCAATCCTATTCACACTTAGGTTAGAATAAGTCTTAGTGAGGCTAACTTCTGAGTAAACATGCAAAAGACTGGGCTGCCAGTCAGGAAGCCAATCCAAGCACTTGAGCCTCAGTGAATATTCGAAGTGGAAACACCAACTCAAAAGGCTCCATTGTAGTACAGCTATATACTAATAAGTCACTGATCTGAAACTTTCAAGAAAAGAAGACAGCATGAGACTGTACCACTAGACGTTTTGAACAAAAGGGCTCATTTCTCTGCTCTGCCAAGTTCATGTAGCTGTAGTTACAATACAAATGCCTATGTATCATTAGCTCACTCTTTGGCTTAGAACATGGTTATGATATGTTTGTCGAGGCTTTATTTGTTAACATTCAAAAGTTACTTCTTCCCACTTTCCCTAATTCTCTCCCACTCACCCCCCTTTCTTGCTCTTTTCTCCACTATTAGCCACTGGTCCTTTATAAGCACACCAAAAACTATGCTATGGACTTCAATGTAAAAAGTGCAAATATATTCAGTTATCGGTTTGCCTCCAAAGACAAGCCACTTCAGGTGCCAAGACTTCAACTTCCCAAGAGTCAAACCCATTGCCAGCAATGGCAGCACAAAGAAGGGCCAACACAAGATCAACTGAAAGTGCATTTCCAGGACAACCACAATGCAGTAGTGGACAAAGCCATAGTCTTTAAGGCATGTACCACAGGAGTAGATTAGCATCCTAAATTCAGTTCAAAATTTGCAGGAGTGCATTTATTAAAATATGATGTCCGTTGTAAATTCCTGGGGGTATTGCAAAGAATCATCAAACCGGAATCGTTTGGAGAGTGTACTGCTGTCTTCTGGAATATTCTCTTTATCCTCTCGCTCGTTGCACATGGGCCTATTATTATTTCTCTCTTCTGGGCATTTATGCATTTGATCATGGTTTGGAGAACTAGGACTTTCTTCAGGGCTATACAACAAGAGGAATTCTTCTTGTCGAAGCCAAGAGTGAGTTAGACAGGCCTCTGCTGTTGGTCGCTCTCTTAAAAATAAAAATCAAGAAGTATACATTTAAGGTATGAAGCTTATTTGAAACATGGGTTCCCTAACATCTGATTCTGCATAGCTCTATAGGTTTCAAACATGTAGCAATGTGATTCGGCAGGAAGAATACTTCAGTTTATTCTTCATAAAATCCCCTTTACCCTCATATTCTAGGAAAAGAGGGACCCATAGACAGAAAACCTATTATCCTAGCTAGATCTCAAAGTCTTGTTTGTCAAATTAAGTGGTGTAAATGAATGGAAGAAATAAGGAAGACAAAGTTTTTCCTTTCTCATTCTGCCTCCCTTTCTTACACTACAGATCAGGAATCTATAGTGCAGTACCTGTGAAGGTCTCTATTCCCTTTAAAAATGTATTTAAAAAACTTGGAAAACATTAGAGTACCAGGTTCTCTTGCTGTTCCTGAAGTTGCAGATTTGCTTTCAATGGGCAGGAAATGGTGGGGAGGGGGATCCTTCCTGGCCTCTCCCAATCTTCATCCATCCGCACAGAACTTATTCCATTGTTTCACCTCTATTTCCAGCCTCAATCCTTGCTCTTTCTCTCCCACTTATCCCCTTTGCTTAATCCTTTTCTCCACTATTAGCTGCTACACTTTCTCTTCCTTCTGCTTACTATTTCCCCTCCCTCCCCATTTTCAGCCTCACTACGTTTGTCCCCACAATCTCTGTTGACTAGTCAGAACCTTGTGGCATCTTTTATGTGACTAGCCAGATCCTCCACTGGAGTCATTTTGTGATGGAGCCTACAGCAGTTCTTAAATTTTCAAATGCGCCTACAGGGCCAAAAAACATGCTACAGATACTATGAGAAGATTCTCCTGTACATGTGAATATGCATACATGTAAAGTTAGTAGAATTAAGGATGTAATGCAAAGGCAGTGGAAAAGTATCACCAGTTTTCACTGCTTGGGGAGATATTCTACAAGCACAAGACATTCCAAATTTGTGAGGTAGGCTGAAAGGCTTTGCAGCAGGGTCAATAATATTGTAGTTCATCTCAATTCCTTACAGTAGAGATGGGGAAACCGTGACCCTCCAAATGTTGTTGGGCTGCAACTCTCACTCTTCCCTGTGCTGGGCAGGGCTTATGGGAGCTGCAGTCCAACAACTATAAATAAAGAGTCAAATTTTGTTCTCTATTTAGGATTATAAAAACCAGCAACAGAAGTCAAACTATGTTGTGAAACACACACATGAAGATTTAGTCCAGCTTCAGATCCCTCAGAATTTTTGTTCCTTTTCAAGATCTAGTTTGCCTAATTATTTCAGAGTTAATCTAAAATAATAAAAAGCAAGAGAACACAAGAACTAAATACTTTTATATCTAAATTAAGTTTTAATGTGATATACAAGTATACAAAAGCAACTGTCAATGTGATTAAGTCCCCTATTTATTATTCCATGTATTTCCACTTAAGCTTTTTTTCCCTCAAACCACCTACTTACTCTGGATTTTTAATAAGCAGCTTTTGAATGAAGTCTCTGGCCAATGGTGAAACTGAAGCAAAAGTTTCTTCTGAATAATCCACATTTACTTTGGAAATATTGAGGTACGTTTCTTGTTTATCTGCTCCCACAAATGGAGATTCATGTGTAAGCAGCATGTATGAGATTACTCCTATGCTCCTGAAATTAGAGAAATTATATTTTTTCCTTTATCAACCATATATTTCTTGCTTGCAATCAGAACTACCAAAAGAGGTTTTTCTTTCACTTTACAATTCTGGAGAAAGCTATTTCAAAAATAGTATGTAGCTCATAGTTAGATTACTGACATATAGTACTTAAGTTTACCTCCTGAAACATTAAACTATTTTTACTGTCATCTTTTTAGGAGAGTACAATGCAGACTAATACTTCTGATAAGGAACTGTTGAGGTAACAGGTAAAATATTTACCAGGAGGACACTACAATCAACTTGCTTATTATCAAATACAACCTTTCTGTCATAAGTTTTTCAATGGAAACTATAGCACAATAAAGTTTTAAAAATTGTTTTAATCTCATAAGAAGTCTCTTACCATATATCTGTTGCGGTAGTAATGGGATCATAATTTAAAATTTCTGGTGCTAGGGAAGGCAGGAAGAAAGTGTACGGTTAAACATCTCAATGTGCTTGACAATGCATTTTAATATTTGTGACCATTGCTTTATTCTGGATTTTACAATATAAATTTATAGGACTGAAAAAAAGACATTCCTACTAAGCAACAATACACACAGAATCATTACTGATGTGTAATTTACATGCAAAGTAGCACAGAAGTGAGCCCTACACAATCTAGTTAACCACTGGCTGCAGATCACAACAGATTATCATACTATATGTGGATGGGAGCGTAGACATATAAAGCTAAGAATCTGTCCTATACCTACGAAAGGGTGTCTCTATACAGCAGGAAGAAACATACAAAGTAGCACTTTGACCCAATTTTTCTCAGTGCCTTTAGTGCTAACACATTCATCCATGCTCTGACCAATGCTGTGACTTCATTTTGTGGCCTTCACACTGCTATCTCTTTCCTTGCTCTAGAATGCTGCTGTCTATAGTATACACTGCTATAATTTCATAAACTCTTTCATATTTATCCTCAGATCCTTATCAAGCTATGTTCATCCCTGTCACTGATATTATTTAACACTTTTACAGCCACTTTTCAGGGTGTACCACTTTCACAAAACAACTTACAAGAGTCTAAAATAAAAATACTATTTAAAAAGAAAAGCTTACAGCAGCAGCTTAAGGTTTTTAAAGCAGCAAACATACACATGAATGAATGTGTTTCCAGAGGTTTTGGTTGTTGAGGTTTTTTTTTTTTTTTTTTTTTTTTTGTCAGTGATGGAGTCATATGTACCTCCCTGGGGAAGAAATTCCAAAAGTGTGACAGTCACTTTTGACTTGTTCGTTTCGCTCTACATTCAGCTCCATCAAATGATGAACAGCCCAAGCCATAGTGAGCTATGATCCTAGCAGGTAGCCATTTTAATTATTCAGCACCCAGCTGCAACTTGTTTTGGAACAATTGATTATGAGAGAGTTAACCCACAGTTCTTGCATTCACCAGACATAGCTGGGCACTGAATATGCAAATCTCAGCTGGCACATTCTGCAGCCTACCACGGTTTAAACAAGTCAGAGTGGATTGTGATCACGCAACCAGATCACTATGAACAGCACTGGTCAAAGACCATGACCATCTTCTACACAACGCCTCCTGTATCACGGATACTGAAGTAGTATCAACTTGTTTTAGTACACATGTAAAATCCATTTGTGATAACTGCTATAGTCATTTTTCGTAACAGAAAAGTCAATCTTCTGTTTCCTACCGAATTATGTTAGTTAACATAGTAAGATTTTTATCTTCATCATGATGTATATAGTCTTTGAAACATCTGTGACATTTTGTAACTTCTGATTTTTTTCAAACATTATTATATTTAAATTCCCATTCTATATGGGGATTTCATCCAAGTTCCTGATCTTATCCATATTTGCCTGGCTTAAGCAGTACTGCAGCACCAGAGGCTCCCAGAACATTCATTGGGCTTCCACACAATTCTGATGTTATTAATTACTTTAGACCTATCAATGCAAAGGTAATGAATGTATATATGTGATGAAATATATACATTCTGATATAAGAAAGCAAGATAATCCCAATGTAACTAGAAATCCATATACTTGTATTCTTTAAAGCATGGGTCCTCAAACTACAGCCCACAGGCCAGATCCGGCCCGCCATTCCCATTCATCCGGCCCACTTCAGAGAAAATGATCTCCAAGTGAGTGAGTAGCCGCTGCGCGCGCACCCACCACCACCTTGCCTCGCCATGGGCACCCCCCTCCCCGCCTTGCCAGCCCACGCCCACTGCCGCCACCTTTCAACTGGCCCCCTGTTGAAAAAGTTTGAGGACCCCTGCTTTAAAGTTTTATTTCTCTCAGGTGTATCTGTGTTTCTTGACCAGTGCTACTAGCAGTTGAAAAGAAACTGAAGAAAAAAGTTGTGTGCTCTCTCTCATATAGGGTAGCAAAAGGACTTCCAACATACGAGCCTAACTAGTATAGTGGCATGGCTGATTTTAATTATCCATATGTGGAACTGCATGGAAACATTCAAAGAACTGGTGCGCATAGAGACTTACCTTGATATTCAGGGGTTCCAACGATTTCCCGTAGTTCACCATAGCTGCCAATCTTCCGAGACATACCAAAATCAACAATTTTTATATCACCAAGGGGACATATACTACTTAATAAAATATTCTGGGGCTACAGTAAAGAAACAAAAGGTTCTGTTTATACACAATTCACAACATATTAAAGGTATTATTTACTGCTCAGTTCACAGACTACTTACCTTGATGCAATCCTACTAAAATGAGAATATCACAAGCATGGTTAGGCAGTGAATACAGCCATTCTTCCATAAATATCACTCCCCCACTAGCACAGTACATGTCTCATATAGAAAGGTACTGGTCACCCAAATAAAAGGAGGTACAATGCTGGAAGGGAGCCCAATAGGCAGGAGCTACCCTCAAAAGTGCAAATAAATAATGGTTTTTAAAAAAGTTGTCGTACTTGAGGGAGGGGAGGTGCCTCAATGCTAGTGGGAATCAGAACCCACATATACATGCTACCTTCGTGCAGATAGTGAATACTGATAGCCATATGCGGACACAACACGTTTACCCAGCTTAGTTGAGAACTAGACTGAGTCAAAGTGGCTTGTCACTTGTTTTTTTAGTTTTGGTTTAAAGAGTAGTGGTAGTGAGAAGAAACATGACTTAAATCTGATCTTTTACTGTACAATCCCTAATCACAGGTTGTGGAGCACAATATACAACCTTCGATCATAAACAACCCAGTGGTTAACCCATGGTTTGCTGTTTGGCTAACTACTAGCTATTTAGTCCCTCAGCTTTCCTTTTCTTTGCCTGATATCCAATCGTAACAATGGACAACAGAAAGAGAAGGTAAGGTAGACAAACTTGGGGGAAGGAGAGACACCTGTGGGCCCATACTGTTTGTCTTTTTTAGGAAAAGGATAAAGCTGGGCAGTTGTAATGCCCAGGAATCCACTAACATGATCATGGATGCCAAGGCAATTTCCTAACTCCATTGACTGTCTCTTCCTTTCCTATGTAAGGGGAAAAAATGAGTCAGTAAGAATGAGGCTCACATAGGTTCTAGCACAGAGTTGGGGAACTTTTTTTGGCCTAAAGGATTGATTCCATTTTGGAAAAGGTTTTCAGGGTTGCATCCCAACAGTGAAGGGGAAAAGTGGGCAAAAAATACCGAACTTCCCCCAATTTCACTGTTACCTTTTAGGTAGAGGTACGTCATTAAAATATTCCCAAACTGGGTCTCTACATCCTGCTGCCGCTATAAGTTTTCTCCTCCAGGGAAAGAATAATATGATAAACCAAATCATATATGTTTGCTATTTGCTGCTCCTCCTTGTAAAACTAAGATCTCTGATAATATCTTCTAGATAGAAACATTGCCCAAATTTAAACATTGCATGAATATACAGCTTCATCCTGCATAATTAAAAACTAATCCTTACTTCATGATGAATAACCTTGGGACTATAATGTATCTTAAACAGAAAACTATTCTGAGATGAATTTTTCCTCAAAAATCAATTTACTTTTAAAAAATCCAATTTAAATCAAAATCCAATTTAAATTTTAAAAATCCAATTTTTGATTAAAAAGCCTTGATTTTTATCCAACCTGTTTCATAGTGAAAGCTGAATAAAAATAACATAATTTTTCAATTTAAAACAAAGATTTTCAGAATTCTAAATATGTATTTGAGAAGTATTATCTAGCCTACAGAAAACTTGGGCCACAAAATATAGTCTAATGGTACTACAGGACTCTTGAAAAGTATTTCATTCTTTCTACTTTTTCAGACAGAAAATCATATTTGCCTCATATTTGCCTCATATTTTGGGTTGTGTACAAAAAGTTAATTAATGAATGATGTTTGAGCCTTTAATAAAATTACATATTTGCAGAAGGAAAAAGGAGCTTAAAATTAAAAAGAAAAAACAAGGGTAAACATCATGAAATGGATTTCGGGTTAAATTTCAAAACCTAGATTCATTAGTCTAGACAAAGCCTGAGTTATGATTACATATTTGTTCAGTACTATAAAAGTAACATTTGTTTTGAAAATGCATACAACATTTTTGCAGTATTATGATGGAGTCAATGATAAATTCAATGAAATTTAACTGATTTATCAAGACCTGCCAAAATTTGTAAACCCCAGTAATAAAATACTGTAGACCCTACTACAGTCTATGGGTAATCCAAGGGCTGTTTAATCCCCATATAACCTAGACTTGCCAGGTTTCCATGAAACCTCTCCCAAGCTGGGGCTGCATATGCAGAATGGTGGCCACAGACACCCTACAACCTCACCATGGATAAAATAACCCACAGTATGCAGTTATGTCACTGGAACAATCCCAATGTAATATTGTAATACAATCTTATAATTATGAATGCTTTAAAAATACCTGCACTAATTTTCTCTAAGGTAAAAGTAATAAATAGCAATTAAATAGTAAACATTTCAGCAGCTATGCCAATTCTCCCCTTTTACAGAGCTGTTATTTTAAATGTGACTATTACCTTTAAATCAAGATGCACAATGTTGTTTTCATGCAGATGACAAATGCCTTCAAGTATTTGCCGTATAAGCCTAATAATATCAGTCTCATCTACAGTTTCCTCTATGTCAGGCAGACATAAATTGAAGATTTCTCCTCCAGCAGCACTGAAAACATAAATACTAATACTCAATTTTAAGCATCTTATCTTCCAAACAGCAAGACTTCTGGCTAAGTTATTCTGGACAATTTGAGCTAGGAAGCAAATCACAGTTTTAATGCATTATGTAGGCATATTTCCCAACTTAGTGTCCTCTGGATAGGTTGGATTTCAACTCCCAATGTTGCCATCTAGCATGGGAATGCTGGGAGTTGCAATCCCACATTATCTGAAGAATACCAGGATGGGGAAGGCTGCCTTATAGCTTCAAATAGTTCATTATAGTCACACACACACACTTTGATGTGTGTGTAGTACTGCCCCCACTTCTCTAGTACTGCCCCCACTTTGATTTGAGGGGGCAATACTAGAGAAGAAGAAAATGGAAAAGAATCACTCAAATTTTGTTTTTCGTGTCCAACAGGAACAAATTACTTCAATGAAAAACCAGAATGAAGCAGTGACGTGGAAGCAGAATCATAGACAAACTTCATATGTATGAGGTCAGTTAAATGGCATTCCTTTCTAGAACACCAACAGATATCAAAAAAACAAAGCAAAAGATTTTAATAGAAACTGAGATCTCGGCACAGCATGTTACTGACTTCAGAAGAAACTGATAATCTTGATTCTAAAATAGCTAAGAGATCTTCTAAACCAACAAGGATAACTAACACCAAGCAGCACTTAACAAAACAATCTACATTGTCAAACACAGAGATAGCTTTACTTTTTTGTGCACTTTCTAGGAATATTCTCTATCATTCTTCTGAGTCTGCAAAGCCTTTATTGTGTGCACCATTTTTCACCTAGGAGTTTTTTGTTTTGTTTTTTAAGGAGCGGACTACTACATGCTGTTCATTCACCACAACCTTTCAAGAAATGCTAAATATGTAGCCCTTCCGTTTTCTGGAATATATTTTGGCACAATGTTCACATACTTTCTCTGAAGCAATCACATTTGGTTCTGTTCAGCACACACAGTTTTGGAATCAAGATGAAAACAAAAGGTATGCCAGAACCACAGACACAAAATTTCTTCCACTGTATCCTAAGATTTCCATGTACACAACCAAACACACACACACACACACACACACACACACACAGAGTGTTTTTGCAATTTCTTCATCCTACTACACCGCCTTGTCTTTGGGTTGGATGATTAGATATTCAAAAATACACTAGTCCACAGATCACCCCGACCCCAGAGCCTCCCCTTATGATTTTGACATCAAATTATAACCCAGGTAAGCTTGAAACTGACATAAACCCTGTCCTCACACAGTTTTGCTAATGTAGCCTTCCCCAACTTGCTGCCCCTCACCAAAAAAAAGTTTGGGTTACAACCCCTAGCATTTCAGACTATTGGCCACAGTGGCTGGGGCTGATGGGAGTTGAGGTTAAAAACTTTTGGAGGGCACCAGATTAGGAAACACTGTTACAAAGCAAGGCAAGTAGAGGGAACAAGAGAAGTATCTCATCATAGTCAAAATGCAGCAGCCATTAGGCTGTTCTTGCATCTGCTCCTAGGTGCAATTTCAACACCTGGAGACTCCCTGACGCACCTTGTGTCTGGGCACAAAATACTCTCCATGCCACCACAGAGTTGCTGCATAACTGTTCCATTTAAAAACAGTAACATGCCTGCACAAGCTACAGCAGAAGCGTGTTCTACACTATTCTATGCAATGGGTAGAATCTTTACATGGGCCAAGCATTAAAAATATTCCCTAACAGGTGTCACACAAACTGTATCCACAGCAAACTCTAACCCAGATCCACAGAAACTACTAATTCATGCAAGAATACTTGCTCACTGACACAAAGGAGAAGGGTCCCACAGGAGCTATTCCTTGCCCTAAATTAGGACTTCGGAAGGGTATCTCTCAAAGCCTTACCTAGAAGCTGTAGCTACGTAATAAGCTAAAGCAATGGCCTCTCAGTAAAAAGGCATATGAATTACAGAGGTCTTCCAGAGAAGCTGAGTTTCCAGAAAAGCTTCCAGAAAAGCTTAAAACTTGCACAGCACCCATTTATTCACTTCTGTCACAAAGAGCAACCCAGCAAAGGGGTTCACTACATCCCCTAGAGTATTAAGACTCTGTACATATAGTAAAGAAGCTGTCATCTTTTTTCTTGTGGCCCTGTTTTCCTGTTGAAACCTTCCTAAAGACCCAATGGTAAATTAGAATTAATCAGTTTGTTTTACATAACAGCATCTTTTTATATTTTTAGTGCAACATAATTATTTTTTGTTTTTGCTTTTAAAAAATAAAAGCCCACAAGATGCTAAACATTTCAGTAACCATGAAACTATGGTTATAAAATACTTATCTCCAACAAATCTGACAATGAGTTAATAATGAACTACAAAGATTACTCTTAAGTGGAAATGCTTGAAAGTGCCAACATCGAACAACTAAATAGCAAGAATATGACACTGTCATAGAACTGGTCAAGCTGACTTGGGAAAGAGATGTGTAGATGACAGCTTAATAACTTTTAAAAATCAGAGCAGCCTTTATTTAGCACAGTAGCTCACACATGAAAAGTTACTCTCAATTTAAAAGTTATCAGTATTGATCTTTAACTATTAAAAAAAGCATGACTCTGAAAAGCCTCTTCCAACATGGTTCTCTCCAGATGTTTTGAATATCAACTCCCATCAGCTAGAGTCAGCATGGACAATGGACTGGAATGCTGGGGGTTATTACCCAAGACATCCGAAGGGAACCAGACTGGGAAAGGCTGGTTTAAATGATGATGATGATGATGATGATGATGATGATGATGATGATGATGATGATGGATTAATAATGCTGGGACTGTACCTGGAACTGAGCTATGTATGCAGATACCAGGCAGTGGCAGAAGGTAACCACTTTGCTAAATAGTGATGAGAGGACCACCCCTAATAACAGGCAAAACTGATATAAATATCAACAAATAGCTACCTCATGTAAAAAGAAATGCAACATGTGTAGATACTCTGTACAATACATAGTGACTTGTGTGTGATCTAGACCAATAAATTGGAGAGGAGGGGCATATACAATTCTTTTTCTGTGTAAGCCAGGATGCGATACAGCAGTCTCAGTTATCCCTAACTGCTCACTTTTAAACATACTATCTTCTTACAACAGTTTAAGAAGTAGAAATAATGAGGAAATGGCTCATGAAGAATCTTAGTAGAGATATTTTTCAGCTAAGGCAGTAATTCAGACAATCCAAATGTCACTATTTGGAGCTGGGTGACATCTTTAATTTCTTGCAGGAAGATAGGACAATGAAAGAAAAAACAGGCTAATTGAAAAATCGCGTAGTTTAAGTGCATTCTTCCTTCAACATGGATCACTTAATAGATTAATAAACAGATTAATAGTTCTATTATTTTTACAAGGTTAAGGACCATCATACAAAACTACAATACATTGTAGATTAACTTCTGCTCTATTTAAATAACTAATACTCAACATTTGGAAACAATTATTTGCCATGCATACAGTAGACAACACTACAATAGACTAAGGATAATACTGTCACAGATAGGAGAGTAGGCCATTCCAACAAAGAAGATCCAAAACCTACAAAAAGTCAGAAAAGGAAATACAGTATACTTATTCTCTAATGTTGCCTTTCTGGTTATGTTCATTCAACCAATACAGACAATGAATAAGTTAATAAATCTATTGACTATATTAAAGGTGATGCAATGCATACTTACTATTCCAATACTAAGATGATTTCATTTGTTGTTTCATAAACTTCATGGAGGTTTACTACACGAGGACTCAGCTTGGTTAATTCTAGAATGGCAATTTCATGTAGGATCTCTGCTTTGCAGTCCTGTCCTCTCCTCCTCTTCTTTAGAAACTTAGCTGCATATTCCTGACCTGTTAGTTTTGCAATACACTTTCTAACCACAGCAAATTTTCCTCTGTAAAAAGCACAAAAGGAATATTTTGAAGAACCATACCAGCCAAACAGATTGCAAACACATAAATATTAAAATACATCAAAATAATGTTAAAACCACAGCTTTGGCTTAACAGTAAATTAGAATGTGTTCCAAGAACTTTGCCTTCTTGTCATTATCTAGACCTATTTAAGACTTAGAAACAGCAATAGAACTCTGGACAGATTTTTATCAATCAAAAGATAAGGCATCAGCATCCAAAACCATTCCCTGCCCTACTAGAATAGCCACATTTAATTGTCCCTTAGCTTTGCCTAGCTTCTCACTCCAAATCTATTTTTCCTTTAACTTGTTCCATCCCAATCCTAATTCTTTGCCAATCTGAATTCCAGCAGAAGATAATACTACATAAGGGAAGTTAATGATTGCAAATCTCTTATTTCAAATACATAATTTGTGTTTTGAGTGTTAAGCTAGCTCTTTAAAGCTGCATTTCTTTATGGATTTAAGCTGTGTAAATTTAACTGACATAAATGGGATTAATCAGCCCATGTGAATGATTTCAGCATTAAACATCCAAGATAAATATCACTTGGGTGCATACTACCACTTAGAACAGGGATTTGCCCACCTAATGAGAAGGAACAACTCACTGGAGAAGATCCTGATGCTGGGAATGACTGACGGCAAAAGAAGTAGGGGATGGCAGAGGATGAGGTGGCTTGATGGGAGTCACTGGGGCAGTGGGTGTGAGCTTGGGTGGACTCCGAGGGATGGTGGAGGACAGGAGAGCCTGGAGGAATTTTGTCCATGAGGTCATGGTCATGATGGGTCAGGCACAACTTTGTGACTAAACAAAAAATAGGCAACATGGTGCCAACGGGAACCCATGTCTCCATGATCTCATTTCTTGGAGACTGCCCAGGTGCACTCTTCCTTCCCCACTTTTTTTTTAATTTACAAATTCTTTTACCAACAGCTGAGATAATTTCAAAGCAAGGTGTGCATGTAATAAGGATGGCCAGGGGTGTGATGTGTGTGTGATGGAGAGAAATAGAGGAGGGCATGTATCTATGGGTTGTTAGCTGGGTGAAAGAAAAGAAATATGAGGGATGAGTAGGTAGGCAGATTGGGAGGGAAGAGAAAGAGAACTTGCCTTTCATAAAATAGTTTTTCTTAGAGCTGAAATGTGGCTTTGAAAAAATGATTTAGTGGGTTTGGACTGAGATGCTACCTTTGTCTTTTATTCAGCCTGCTGGGTGGGTTCCCTGCCCTTTGTGACTAGCTGTGTCTCCCATTACATCTTTTAAGTGGTGGTGCTCAGGATAGTTTCACAAATTGCTAAATGTGCTCACAAACCCAAAGAGCTGCCTGCTTCTGATGTACAGGATCACTATATTTAAGGGGCTCCAAATCAGACATGCTTAATTAAGAAGACTTGCCACAGAATAAATAAGGGAAGAATTGTACCAAATGAAACCCAAACTTTAGGCATTAAAGCTACACTAAGCATAATCAGAATGGTTATACTTCCTTTTTTGAAGATTACATATTCTGAAAATGAAGTTAGCAAATTCATAAAAGATAGTTCTGTATTTAAGATCCTGGGATAAGAAACCATTCAGAGTGCAGTAAAATCCTTTAATTAAGCTTCACTCTACCCTATGATGTAGTTTAACACTGACCTGGTTTGCGTATAACAACAAATTATGAGTTAGTTAACCCATGAACTGCCAGGAGTAAGTGAGCATGCTACATCCCATGTGCTCTTCACTTTTGTTTTCATTTTAAAACCTGTGATACCCCAAAACACAGGTTACTCTCATGAGGTCCAAACTCAGGCACTCTGGGTTATTTAAGGATTACCTATGATGTATCCTTGGGCTAACTCTGGGATGTTTAACTACTAAACAACTTAGGCTACCTGGGTTTGCACATCACAAGCTGGAACTATGATTGAGACATTTTTCAGATTGTGAAATGAAAACAGAAATGAGAAGCATGCTCCTATGCATGTCCAGCAAATCATGAGTTAAGTAATCCATTATTTGCCTTTACAAATGTGGGTTAGGCTGAGAGCCAGCATTGGGCTTGGTGACTCAGAAGGTCTGAATGCTAGTCCTCACTCAGCCATGAGGTTCACTGGGTGACTTTGATGCAGCCACTGGCTCTCAGCATAACCACCTCACTGAGTTGTTCTTCTGAGGATAAAATGGAGAGAATGAGAAATTGTAAGCTGCCTTCCCTATAAAAGGAAGAAAAGTGGGATATAAATATCAAGCCATGCCACAATTCTGCATGCAAAATAGGTCAGAGTATTTCATTCAGAGTAGGTAAGTTTTTCATTTATCCAATAGAAATTATACAAGATTGGTATTTTATTTATCATAATTACTGTTGCTACAGGTCTTTGAAATTGATTTCTATACGGTAGTTCCAAGAAAAGACAGGATATCCTTATCCTTCAAAAACAATTTTCAGGACTTTATTATATTTTTTGCTTGAACTATGCTCAAACTTTCAATTTTTAGAAACCTCATCTCCGTTTAAAAAAAAAACTTTAGGTTCAAACTGTCATCAACAAGAGAGAAATTATGTTCTTTAACTGAGTTTGGGCTGACTTTTTTAGGATTAGACTAGTTAATACACCACTAGATTACAACAGGTGGTTGTGACCTGGCCTAACATGGGTTTACACTATTGATGCTACTTCCTTTAAAATAAAAGTTTTTCTTTGTTGCCAGTTGTCAGAGAAAAAGAGTAAATGGAAAGTGCTTTTCATCTTTTAGAGGATTTGAAGTGGCTGTTGGACATTCATGCCACAGCATGCTGTGCACAAGTTTTGACAGTGGGGTGGGACAATAACAGGAACCCTCCGTAAAAGACATTAGAAGCCTAAGTACCCGAAGGAGGGCTTTCTCTGCGGTGGCGCCCCACCTATGGAATGCGCTCCCCAGAGAGATCCACCTGGCGCCGTCATTATTTGTTTTTTGGCGCCAGGCTAAGACCTTTTTATTTAAACAATATTTTAACAACTTTTAATATCATCTATAGGTTTTAATTTGCAGCTAGAGTGAATCTGGATTTTATTTGCACTATTTGTATTATCTTTGTTTATTTTATGTAAGCTGTCCCGAGGCTCATGCGATGGAATGGCATACAAAAATTCTAAACAAACTAACATCTAGGGTGAGATTTTTCTTGCTAGAGCAAAAGGCTAGCCCCACATCTGGACTTGTTGAAGACCACCATATTACAGTAGCAGCCAGGATACTTGGACAGATAAAATGGGGCACAGAAAAATTAAAGTATTAGCTAAATTGAAGCAGCATATTCATAATGAAAAACAAAGTACAGCCTAAACACTTCCACACAAAAGCCCATTCTCAGTTGCTAGCAAAAAAACAAGACATACAAATTTTTATTCCTTACCAACTATTTAACTGTAGAACCAAAAATGTATGTTGGTAAGTTTGTGTTTTTGGAAGAAAACCACAACTGTTTAAAAACCAAGTTGACCTTTTAGGAAGCAAAGAAAAATGTACTCCCTCAGCCAACTTATGAATGCCTGAAAACCGGGATTTTGATTTCAATGTTAGAGTTTACAGGAATGCCCAGAAATACAATAATGAAGTGTTCCAGATTAAACTAGGAACTGAGTGAGATCTTTAATGCCCATGGAAGATACTGACATGAAAAGTGCATATTCTGCATATACAAAAAGTATTCTAAACATCCACATCTCTACTTTTATGTACTTTAAACTTCTATCCCACCCTTAGACTTAGGTTCAAGGCAAGTAAAATGAACATCAAATTTTAAAATGGAACATTAAAATGACACCCCCATTAATATATTCCTATTCCATGTTTGAACAATCTCACAGATTTTTGGTTGTAAATCTTACAGCCATCAAGAATAGATCTTAAAGTATCTATTTTGCAAAACCAGGGAAGGAAATCCACAAATATGACATTTTTTCAAGGCTTTTCCAAGTAGAATGATCTAGCCAATTTACAAGTTCCTTTAAAAAAATATCATAATATTTATATACTGCCCCATTCCTATAGGTTCTGTTAACATTCATTTTGATGGATCTACTCGATTTCGGACTAATCTAATAGTTAACATTCACCTATTCTGCTCACAAGTAAAATGAAGTGTAACTCTCAAAATAACTTAACAGAAAGTTTTTATTGACTTCTTTAAAAAAAAAAAGAATTGTTCCTTTATTAGGACACCATCATAAGAGTTTTTCAAGTAGTAAACAAAGCAATGTTTACAATATGAGGCAAAAGTGTGCCTTATTCCAAAATCAGCAATTGATATGTACAATAACAACAGAAAAATCTAGTGTTACACCAGAAAAATATTAGCACCACACCAAAGAAAATATTGTTTATTTTAATTATGTGAAAACAGCCAAATACATGCTATGTATATCTTTCCTCTTGTGCTTTTTGGACAGCTGCCACCCTATTATTTATCTATTTACTTCATTTTTATACCACCCAATAGCTGAACTCTGTAGGAGTTCACAGCATTTGACACAGAGTATTGATTATAATATTCATAGATTCTACTCCTCTCATGGCCATTCAAGAGACCTAAACTGATAACTTTTTAGCCATTCCCTGTGGCCTTTTACCCTTTTATCTGACACCCATCTCATCAAACTCCATTCTTAAGATACTTCCAAAATGACACAGATTTTGAGTAACAAATGCACATTTTTTATGTGGGAGCCACCCACCAACTGGCGCTTCCAGCCACATGAACATACAGTAAACTACACATTTGCAAACAGCTGACAGAATATGTATGTGGGATGTTCACTCTCTAAAACAAAAACTGATAGCTATGTAGGAAAATTAGGAATATGAGAAGAGTGTGTTGATGTGCAAAGAAACAGGGAAACTGGATATGGAGACAAAGGTCAACCAAGTTTGGTTTGAACTTACTACCTAGCCCAAGTTTGAGGTCACACAGTTTCCCCCCTTTGAGTAGTTCCTCTCTCCTCTCACTGGGCTTTTGCATCAGGCATCAGTAGTGTTAGTTCACAAGTAAAGAAAAAGTCTGAACTAGCATCTGTTCTGCATTAATTCATATGGAGGGATGGATGGATGGGTGGATATCATCACAGTGCAATGAGGAATTCGGTGTGATTTTTTTTCGGGGGGGGGGAGTCCTCAATACTACACTGCAAGGATAAAATAATACCTATGGATTGTCTCCTAATACATGGAGGGTTCCAGGATCAGTGTCTGTCCAAAATCCATAACAAGCAGGATATTCTTACCTTCCCAACTCTTTGGGCTCAACATCATAGAAACTGTGGAAGTTGTCTGTTCTTATTTGCGTCTGAAAAGACGTAAGAAACAAGCCAGGATGGCTTTTGGTCTCTGACTTCCTCCTGGACATAGTTAATGCATAGATTGCTCCAATGTTGGTTGTTGATTTTCTTTTACCTGTCAAAGTAACATGTTTTAAAAAACCAAGCACCAGACAGTTCAGGTATACAACTATTCCTCATTCGCTTGGAGCTTCAATTGGAATATTTTGACTAACTACATAAAACACTACTGCATTTAACAGTTTTGAAATCTGAAAAAATGTTTTGAATATAAAAACATAAAACCATCTGACAGAATTAAAATATTTATAAATACTACAATGCAGCATGTAAACTGTAAATGACACTGACCTGAAAGTTTTTAAGAAACTCAAGCATTTAATTATTGTTCTTGTAACTAAAATGCATAACTTTGCACAGGAACAATCTATATGACTTTAAACACCATTCGTTTTAAATCAAAGCAAAACAGATCCAGAATGTGGAGGAGTGTTAGTAATGTAGAGTGGAACATTTTCTTTTCTAAAATCAACTTTATCATAATTAAAGAATTAGACTAGCAATAGGGCAGTTTCAAGGTTTTATTTTTTTCCACACAATTATATATCAGAAATACATGCATTAACCTTGATATACTCTTTTTCCATGGTCCTCCACTTTTTCTAAAGGGCATACTAAAGATTAGTCATCTTTTTAAAAATCCATAATAATTTCAATAAAAATCATTTTAATTAAAGATTGAAATTGGATTGATTTAAGCTACCTTACATTTCCTTTATTGATTTAATTTACTTCTTAAATATTTCTGTTCAAATATGAACAGTACTTTGGCTAAACAAATTGTTCACATATGAACAAAAGTTTGGCTTTGATATAACTCTCAAATGTTAAAATTAATACGGCATACATTTTACTATTGTTTACTAAATATAAAAGTCTCAAGCATGCTGAATCATATCCAATTTGTTTATGGTATAAGAATATGTTATTTTCTAATTCAAAACTTTCCATAAAACCCACATATCCAGGGAGAGAGTTGCCAAGAAAGTACAGTTTTGCTAGTCACATAGACTAAAGTAAATCAGCAGAAAACTTTATTAGAACTAGAACACTATTAAGAACAAGCCTTGCCAAATAAGTGTCACCATGGCTTCTTCACTAGGAAGCCTTGCCTCAGTAACCTTTTAGAATTCATGAGCATGTCAAGCATGTAGGTGGGAATGATATAATCATTTTATAGTAGACTGCATCTCCTGCCCCCAAATCTCACTAAAACACCCCTAAGGAAATAGAGAAGTCATGGGATGAGAAACAAATCTTACAATCAACTATTAGTTACATGTAGATTGTAATAATCACTAGTCATTCCATATCTTATTCATTAATCTAGAGTTGAAAGTAGAAGGTGGGGTTGGCTTCACCTACAAAGCGTTACATTGATTAGGATCCTAATCCCTAACAACTTCTAAAACAGTCTCTCAACTATGTAGCCATGAATAAGGGCAGTTCACCACAACATCTTGCATGCCCTGTATTTAAAGGCATACTATTTGCTAACACATCTCACATCCTTCCTGTCACTTAACTATAGTTTCAAGACTGAATCATGTCCTAAGCGGAACAAGATTGGTAACATATAACAGCAAACTTGTTTCTCTACATGCAATAGTTCAAAATAGGCAATAGTTCAAAATAGCTTTACAAAACCATGTCATGTTAACTTCAATGCGTATGTTGGTTAAACTATATATTATACTGTACATTTTTAAACTAGGCAGTATCCATGATAGAACAATCATTACCACAGATTCACCACAAACTCTTCCTGAGAAAAGCAGAAGTTTTGTACTGACATCTTTACGTCTGTCCCTTATTGGAATTTGTTATGATTCATATGCTATGTCAGATCCGTATCAACTGCATGCTATATCACTGGCTTGGGATTCTCAAATATAGATAGATATATAGATACGCTCTTAAGTGAACTGTTGTCATTCAAGATGAATCAGTAACAAAGTTCTAGTTAGACCTGGGTTGTGAGACTATAGATTTTTAAAAAATAATAACAGTACAAAGACAACAATATTACCACCCAACATCTGGTTTAAAAAACTGAATTAAAGTAGTGTCCTGTATAAAGTAAGATGCCCGAAATCTCAATACTCTCTGAAAGTAAGACATTTTGAGCTGGATGCGCTTCCTTCTAATATTAAACTTACAGAAGCTGGTGTTTTTCAGAGGTGAGAAAAATATTCCTGAATATGCTGAAACAGACTATTTCACCCTTTCTCGATATGAATCCTAGACCTGTACTGGCACAAATTTAGCTTGACTCTATAGACAATTTACAACTTCATCCAAAGTGTGTTTTCTCAAACTCAGGTCCAACTGAGTTCAAGGGATTTCTTCCTATGCACTTGTTGCAGATTCTTAGAATGTCACAACTTTGAGAATTTACAAACTTTTCCTGAAGTTTAACTAATCACTGTCACCAGAAAAAATACACCACACTAAAAGAGGACTGAAGAAAGTAAAGCACAAACCATGCATGGTTTATATTCGTACCAAAAAGAAGTTACTTTCCAATAAAGAATATATTAAATAAATCCTAACAAATGCTCAGCTAAATAAACCCTCCCCTGGACTGAACTTCTCATATATTCAAAACAGCAACAGTGCTCTGTAGTTTGGAGCTCTATAGTTTGGAGTGCTTGAGGACAGCTCTAACATCTACTGGGACTAAGCAGATTCATTAAGAGTAAAGAGGAAAATAAAATTAATGTACATAAATGGATTAGATACTGTATTAAACTATAAAATGCAAGTTAAAAGATCATATTATTCAATTTAAGCTGAACTGAATTTGCTGAGCAGGAATGTACAACTGCAGTTCAATGCATGTTTACTTGGGAGTAAGCTCCACTGAATTCTGACTTCCAAGTAAATATACATAGGAACAAGTACAGAGTCGCAAATCTAGCATACTGTTCAATGAAACATGCTGAGTCATAAAATGCATGGGAATTAGGAATACATTGCTTAATCTAAAACCTAAAGGTTATAATGGAAGTTTTACTGTTTGAATCTTCAATGTAAGAATGCAACCTTTGCCTTGAATTCTTAACTGCTTGGCTATAGATCATTCAAATTATATGATGTTATAGATACAGCCCTACCAATTAAAGATTTTTAAAGTAAAGAATTAGAATACAGTCCAGATTTAGGTGTGAGCAACTGGGCTGCTGGTAGTTGATTTTCCTTCCTTTCCATGGCAACTCCTTCAGTCCTCTGAAAATGCTATACAGAGGGTTGGAACCCAGCTGAATGTGGAGAACTGTGGTGTAGAGAGGAAGAGAAAAAGTCCCTGAAAGCACCTTCTGTGAGCAAGCACCTTCTGTTTGCAGAAGACAGATTCTGAATCTAACCCTTCATCTTTACAATATTATTTGCAAATACTTTGTATGCCTAAAGATATGCTGTTATAATTATCCAACTAAGGAGGCAAAGTTACAAGACAGACAGGTATTTTAATTTTATGTCTGACCAAAGTGACAAGTCGACAGTTTCCTCACTTGAGATGGTAGGCACTGGACAATATTTAACTGGCTCCTGTCCTGCCTTTAAGAAGAGCTGAAAGATAATCCTATTCTATCTTGCTTTTCCCTGCCTATGACCTGAGTGAGTTCCAAGGTTGTCTTGCTCTATCCTAAAGGTTCAAACTGGCTTCCTGCAGCTTTTCTTAATGTTACTAGTTCCACCTCCAAGAACTAACAATCTAACAACACTTACTACAAAGTAAATCCCAATTAACTTGCACTTATTTTGTGTAAGCTTGTATAGGAATGTGATGCAAAAACCAAATGGGTTTGGGTATAAATCTGGCTAACTGCCTTCTTGTAAGAGGTCGGGTCAGTTCCAGGTTCTGGGAGCAGGAACAACATGCCTTCAGTAAGACCCCTCTCCGGGCGATCCTACCTCCACCCCACTTCTTTTTCCCTGTTGCCCATTTACTTGCCCTCTCCCTTTCAATCCAAACATAGACAAGCACAAGGAAAGTGAAGGATGCTTCTTTAACTCCTCATGTTTGAAACTGCTTGCTGCTCATATGGGGAGTTAAACAGTGACAGCAATGATCACTTTCAGAGCTCAAGTGCTGTGAGGACTGACAGTGCCTCTGGCTGCAGGACTGTGGACCTCAGCAAGTGTCCAACAGTGCATATCCCAAACTATCACTGAAAGCAGCACTGCAGAGTTAAATCAGTGGACTGTGTTTTTTCTGCTGTCTCATGTAAGACGTATTTTATGTTCTGATTGTTCCTCTGGTTTTTGATGTTTTACCCAGCTGTTTGAATTATAAGTTGTCTAGAGCATATTGGAATAATTCCATACTGAATAGCAGAGAGCCTCCGGTTGCAGGATGTGTGTGTGCTCTCACTCAATGAGTAGCTGTTCCTGCTGAGATGTGCATGTTTCTAGACACCCATAATCATCCAGCTATTTTCCAAAGTAGGCAAACCACTCTTAAGGTAGCACCATCACTTGTGGCAATGAATTCCATTAACAGTTTTGTGCATTGGGTGAAGAAATAATTCATACTACCTGTCATACATCTGCAACGATCAGACATCACAAACAGAAATAAAAGCAAAGGTGTGCTTGTTGGGGCAAGAAGCAAGAACGTGAAGAAAGAGTGAAGATATCCATCTTAAAACTGCTCCCTTAACTACCATATTATAAAATGTATAACATCTGCAGGTGGAACAGAGGGTTTGGTAAGGATAAAGGTGATGCCAATCACCACCTTAGACAGAAAAGCTCCTTCATCAGAACACATGAACTCCGTGGCCTACAGACAAGGTGACAGAGCCCATCCCATGAGTTTAATAACTTTTTCTGGACATGAGCAACCAACACAACGCCTGCAATTTTTTTCTTCATGTGACACATGAATGAACGAGAGGGCCAATTTTATTATTCATCCTCTCACGTGCAGGGCTTCGCTCGCAAAGCAGCAAGAATTTGAAGGGGAAGCCCCCCGCCAAGGGATGTGTTTTCTGTGTTCATTTTATATAAAGGCACCCTTCCCTGAGTCCCCGCACCTCCTGACGCGCAGCTGCCGTTAGCGAGGTGAGCAATTTGAGGTCGGTCCCCTTTTCGGAGCGGGGCAAACAGGATCAAGCAGAAGAGTCGTTGCGGCGATGGAGGAAGCCAGCTTCCCCACGGGTGCCCCACCGCCGTCGGGCTGGCGCGACCCACACGAAGTGCCAGCCGCGGCGAGCCTCCCGATAGGGCCCAAACAGAGGCTGCTAATACGGCTGCCTACGAAGCCGCCAGGGGGCGATTTCCACCTCCTCCCCCCCCGCCCTCACCCCGTCGCTTTTCTTTCCTATTGTAGGTCTTGACGAGCGCCGGGCTCTTCCAGCACCTCATAAGGCTGAGAGGGAAAGGCTCGCTCCGCTAATCCACAGCCGTGCTCACAAACAGTAATTACCTGCGCCGGCATTCGCAGTCCCTCCTCGTCCGCGAATTCAGGCGGTGTGACACCGGCACCGACGGCCCCTCCACGCCCGCTGGCCTGGCCCCGATTCCTTCCAAGGGGCGCCGCGGCAGCGCTCAGCCCCCTCGCACGTCCACGCGGGCAGTCGGCTCCGTCCTTATTTCCTCTCCTCTCCGCGTCGCAGCCCCGGCGCGCTCGCGCCCAAGTCCGCCCCGCGCGCGCGCGCACCCGCTCGCACACCCCACAGTTGGCGTTTGAAAACCGCCAAGCCGGTTTGTGGGGCTGCTACTGCGCCGGCTCCTTGGCCCCACCTCCATTTCGCCACCGAACCAATCAGCTCTGGCTGGTCTGACGGTCGAGGCGGGGAAGGTTCCTGTCTCCTCCTCCTCCTCCCGCTGCTTCCTCTTTTTCTCTCGCGGAGATGTCCTCCTGTGAGTGGCATTGGCTCAGCCAATCAGTTGTAGGAAAGGAGCGGCGAGGGCGTGCAGGCGTATTGCCGTCGCTCTCGGGACATGGAAGAGAAATGACAGGGGGGCGGGGCAAGCGGGAGCAGGAGCTGCGCTGAAGGGCTGTGGGGCCCGGCGGCGGAAGCGGCCGTCGGAGTGCGAGCTGCGCCGCCGTGTCTCGTCGCGTGCCACGGCTGCTTGGCACAGGCGCGCAGGGAATCGCTTCGTACGTGCTCGGACGGACGTCTTGCTTCGCCTAAGCTCTGGCGAGCGAGGCAATCCGGTGCTAGGTGCAGAGCGGCACGCCCCGACCACGACGGGGCAGGGCAGAAGGCACGGCTCTGACCTGCAGAGGTAGCCTGGAATACACCGACTGCGTCCCGTAGGGCACCAGTCATAAATCATAGTCCGCATCCTTTAGCATATCACACAATGCATAAACCAGGGGCTGTTCGGAGAATGCCGCATGGCACCTGCCAGGCAAGATGGAAATGCTGTATCCCTTTAGCTAAGAACCTGGCAAAATAAGATTCACAGCCCTGCAAACCAGCTGAATCTCGCTTTGACCCAGTTGCCACAAATACCACAGCCCATTGTGTCTTATTTAAATGATGATAGGTTGTGAAGAAAGGCAGTGGCCGTTTGGAAGAAGGAGAAGATGATGATGATAAGCCTTTATATGTCATCCAATACTAAAGTCTCTGGGCAGCTTACAAGATTAAAGCCACAGTGGGCAGTTACTGTGGCTTATTGTGATAGCCAAACCTGGCAAGGGTGGATTTCTGTTGTGGTTGGCAAACCAGCCAAACAAAGCTCATGGGCTGATTTAGGGTTGTGGCTAGTTCATTGATCATGCCAACAACCTACCCTGGCTGTGCTCAGACGTCACACTAAACCACAGTGACTTCCTGCCATAGCTTGACTACGCCAAATGGCCACTGGCAGCATCTGGTGATCGTGTGAACTAGCCCAATTATGAAGCAATGCATCCCAAGTGGTAAACACAGTGAAGAACATTAAAGATTCTAGGAATGTTGCAACTTAAAAAGTACAAGGAAACAGCAGTCTTATTTTCACATAAGCAGCCTGCAAAATCACTACCATATTCTGGGTAGGCAATTTGTGGCCCTCCAGATGTTTTGGCCCTTAACACCCATGAGCCTTATCCTTGGTGAGGAATCAGTATCAGAGGTGTGAGACAAACACATCATCACCAAGATGCTGTAAGAGAGCCAGTGTGGTGTAGTAATGGGACTCAAGGTATCTGGGTTCTAGTCCTGCTCAGCCATGGAGCCAACTGGATGACTTTGGGCCACTCACAGATGCTCAGCCCAGCCTACCTCACAGGTTTGGTGTTATTTATTATTTATAATCTATTAAATTTCGAACCTGTCCCATTAGTCATATGGCTCCCTGGGCATGTTACTGCAATGAAATGCAAAATAAAATAGAGATTAAAATACAATACAAAACAACAATTACAAATAAAAAACATTAAAACCGATATAAGATGTGCCACAGTAACAACATACCCACAGTTAAAATGCTACTTAAAACAATTTAACAATTAAAATACTGTCAAAATAAAAAGGTTTTCACCTTGTGCCTAAAAGACTGTAAGGAAGTTTCTAGGCAAACCTTTCTGGGGAAGATTTCTGGGGAACCTTTCTTGTTCCAAAGTCAGGGTGCCACTGCAGAAGACACTTCTTCATATTACCACCCTAAGGAGGGGGTTCTTTCAGAAGGGCCTTAGATGCAGATCTAATGTGCTGCTTAAGAAGTGCTGCTTAAGATACACTGACCCCAAGCCGTTTATGGCTTTAAACACCAGTGTTAACACCTTGAATTGGGCCCAGACCTCAATATGAAGCCACTGAAGATGGTAGAGGACTGGTTTTATATGAGCATATCTGCCAGTCCTCATTAACAATCTGGCCACCCTATTCTGGACCAATTAAAGTTTCTGCACTGTCTTCAAGGTTATACTATTGTAGCTTAAAGTTCAGTGACGAGGCCTTAGGAGAGCATCGTTTCAGAATGGGGAGACACAGGAGTGGGGGACAAGAGGGAAAGCCGCCAAACAGCTGGTGGCTTGGGAAAGAGGGTTGGACCATCTGGGGAATACTAGAGAAGCCTGAGACTGAACATCCCTGATTCACCAGACAGCAGCCAGGATGGGGCAGTTCCCAAAAAGGAGCGACAGTTGTATAGTTCCCAGCCAGTCTCTCCAAGAGGGCTCTGAGGCAGCATGGTAAAAGATGCCACATCTCTAATGGTTCCAGCTGCATGTCAGAAACACTTTCCTATGTTGCATAGCTGCCCTGATGGAAAGTAGGAACACCTCCTCTCAGAAGAGGGCCTACTTCATGCGGATTGTATAACTACTTTAATTTAAATAAATAAATAAATAGATAGATAGATAAATCTGCTCTCCAATTGATTGTTAGCACATTTCCACAAAATGAAAGGCTGCTCATTAATTTATCTACCTGCTTGTCAAGCCAAACTTGGCAGCCATGGTTATTCTATTTTAATTAACAATGTTGGTGTCACCCTAATTATAGTCTAGGAGTAGTATAAACTGGGCTGCTGTGCTCTGGTTAACTGTTCTTGCCTGCAACAGGGATTCCACACTTCTCAAAGCAAGCCCCCAAAATGAGTGGAATCACTCAGTTCCAGACCAGGGGAGCTCAGTGGTTTGTTCCTTGTTGTTGTTAGTCACGAAGTCGTGTCCAACCCCATGGACAACATTTCTCCAGGCCTTCCTGTCCTCCACCATCCCCCGGAGTCCATTCAAGCTCACACCAACTGCTTCAGTGACTCCATCTAGCCACCTCATCCTCTGCCGTCCCCTTCTTCTGTTGCCATCTATTGTTCCCAGCATTTGGTTTGTTCCTAACACCCCCCATTTTAGAAAGAAACATGTCCACTCATTTCCACTTGTTCTGTGATTGGTTAGCGTTTCCTGGATGATTCTAAATACATTCTCCACTTCCTTTGGACAAGGGGCAGGTTACTCTTGTTCTATACCTTAAGGAGATAACGGGCACACCTCTCTCCATTGCCGCAACGCATGGCCACCCTTTTCCTTGCTTGCGTAGGTAGCAACTGTTGTTATGTTTTGCCCTGCAGTTTAGTCTCACAGCCTTCCACCTACATTTTATGACGGCTAAAGATGTATCTTTTTATGTATCACTGTCTGGGATCTGCAGAACTGAGGAGGCATTTCTGTCAAAACTGAGCCTACACACCTGTTTTATTATAATTTCATGTCACCCTGCCAAACAAAGCAGAAGCACTCAATGCATGCAAGAGCCTCACTGGATTAGGACTTGGAGTACATTTGGCCTGGTATGAAAAGAATAACACGGCATTCCTAGCATGCCAGATAGTACACAGGATGAAAATTAAAAAGATGGCTGCAATTAAGATGCCTTGCATTGTTATGAGACACAGTGCCAGCACGCAAAACGACAGCATTTGTATGTCTCCTCAGCTTAGTATGTCTCCACGCAGATCCATTTTGGAGCCAGAACCCTCCACTCTGTAGTGTTCAAAAGGCCATATAAACAAACACACGTAAGAAGTGGAGAACCCTGGGAATATTATTGGAATATTTATTATTTATGCAGAACGTTTGGCACACATTTTCACTTAATAGAAAAATACAGCTGAAAGAATGCAGCCCCCAAGGACCTCAGAATTTAAATTATATGGAAAATGAGATCAAGGAGAGTCAGAGGCTGAGGGGAATGTTATAAGGAAAGACAATGCAGACTGTGGAAAAACAAGCTCATAAAGCGAGTTTCACAGTTTACTACAAGTCTCCATAACTCATGACCCACCAAGAGTCAAGCATACCAAGTGCTTGACAAGACAACTAAAAGCCAGAGTCAGATGGATCTCCTGAGGGTACACCATTTATTTCTACCCAACTGTCCACAGCAAGACTCACTCAAGACAGCTGGATGTGGTTCTGCTTCGTTTGGTAGATAGGACTACAACTCAGTGGAAGAGTGGAGCCTGCCAGGATCAGCTCACAGCATAAGATAGTTAGTATTTTAAAACTATACTTGGCCAAACCACAAATTGCAAAGGCTAGAAAAGCATGGCATATAGAGAAGAAACATACAGTTTAGTGTCATAAACCGAAGGACAAACTGAATGTAGGGACCAAGGGCTCAAAGTGCTGTGTGGTACAGTGTGGTGTAGTGGTACTGGGGAGCATGGGACTGGGACTCAGGCGATCTGGGCTCTAGTCCCCGGTCGGCCATGGAGCCAACTGGGTGACTTTGGGCCAGTCACAGACTCTCAGCCCAACCCACCTCACAGGGTTGTTGTTGTGGGGATAAGATGGAGGAGGAGAATGATGTAAGCTGCCTTGAGCCCTTTGTAGGAAAAAGACAGGATATAAATTGAAGAAAAAAAAGTACAAACCAAATGTCCAAAAATGATTGAGTCATATTTACATCCCGTTCTCCTCCCATCTTAAACCTACCCTGGGTCTGCCACACCGTGTTATCTAGCAATTAACCAGTATCGGAGCTGTCTCATGCCCTTCTAAGAACCAATGCTGGATCAGACCAAAGGCCTCTCTAGCCCAGCATCCCACTCCCAAACAGATGCCTTATGGGAAGCTCACAGGGAGGATATGAGTGCAAGAGCATTCTTCCCCTTCAATTATCCTGGCAGATCTGAATGCTGGGCAGCATACTTTCATTTAACTGTATAGCTGTTCCAGTTGCTTAATTTTTTGGATGCATATCCCACCAAACATGACTCTGTCAAGCCCTCAAGGCAGTTG